GCCATTTTGTAGCTGCGGCCATCTTGAATTTGCATATTTTCCATAATGTAGTCAAGCCCTGTCGTTTGATACCCATATTGAGGTAGTTGTTGAAAAATATGTAATCCGCCATTTTGTAGCTGCGGTCATTTTGGATTTATAATGATACAGAATTTATTATATTGAATTGTCATAAAAACTGAATGTGTGTACCAAATATCAGATCAATCTGTCAACAGGAAGCGGGTCAAACTACATTTGACCCAAATAAACAGGGCAAGCTAAATAAAACCGTATAAAAAAAATACTTTGATATACTCCATTTGTCTGGTAGATTTGAAAATAATTTTGGAATATGACCGTAAGTTACTTGCATATTTGTGTCATAAAAATTCACTGAGGAGAAGTGTTTGTTTCATCTAGCTTCCAAAGACAGCCTTGTTACTCGTGACTCAGCACCCTGTATGAAGGGTTTCAGGAGGATTTCAGAGCATCGCCAATGACAGAGTCCCTTTACGTTCTTCACCGAGGTATAGTATACCAAGATTGAATATAACTGCCATTATCGTTCAAGAAGAACGATAACTTACTGTCTGAAAGCCCGCCGCATGACGGTTATACGTCGTATACACTGTTAATTTTCGAAATCTTGCTTCATCACAACTATGCGCTATACATTATACAGTCATAAATTCAAGTTGGACAAGCAGGAAGTCATCAAATGGATGTTGGAGAATGATGATCTGGCGATTGTGTTTAAAAATACACAGAAAAGTTTTAAGAAAGATTATGAATATTTCAAAAACTGATAAATATTCTTTTCCGAAGAGTGTTTACTTCGGCACTTTTTGAACAACAAGGTTGACAACTTTATCCTTTGCGGTGAATAGAAAAACAACTAAATATAAACATTGTGGACTGATTTTTGAACTTGGAGACGTCGATCCTCCAATATTATAATAATAATAATAATAATAATATTTATTCACCATTTTTGATACATATGAAATTGGAAACAACCAGAGCTACCATTCCTGAATGTACTACTTATAAAAAAACGCTGATAAGGGTTTAGAAATTGATGTTTAATAGCACCTTCGGATAAATATAAGACAGCTCGCACCATTTTCTTCAACACATCGTGGCGTGATTATATTTTCTTGCCCATACATACGCTTGTTACGTTAAACATAATACGATATCCAAAATGAACGTTATCAGAGACATAGATATAAACAATGAGTCTGCTTCAGACTCAGTTAATTAGGAAATGGATGAACGAGCACAAAAAACGCGAATAATCCAAAAATATGGTTGTTGCCTTTGTTACAAAATACACCATTGAGTTAGTCTGAAAGGAGTATTGAAAAATTATACATACAATACAATACTATGCTCATGTAGGACAACTTGAAAGATAAGATAATGAAAATGGAGAAGTTTGGAATTTATGAAAAAAATCTGCTCTAGCGAAGTTGACTTTAAACAGTTGTTTCAGGAAGTACCTTTCACAGAGTCGGTCTCGTGAATCAGATAAATGGTGTGGGCTCAACATGTCTTATTGGTGGTCACAAAATGAATACGAAATGGTTAAAATTGTTGAGATCGACATATGACAAAGTCTTCTGAGCAGGAGGTTACTCAACAAAAAATATTAAGTATTTTTATAAAAAAAGTTGCGCTCCCCCGATAAAGCTCCTCGTGGAGGAGGATGGACAAATGTACCGATAGGAAGCAACGTGCAATAAATATAGAAAGAGAGACTATTGGACTCTTTCATAAGCTTAGAAATCGAAAATGTGAAATAAAATCTATATGCGATAAAAATCCAGTTTCGGACAGCCCTCTATTCACTCTTTCACAAGATAATATAGTGAATATAATATTGATCAAAACAAGACTGAAGACTGTATCTAGTAGAGATACAATAAGAAAATAAATACGCGTTACGTAAGGAAGCGGTTTACCCTCCCATAAGAAGTTATCACTTTGATTTTTATTTGTGATTTTAATTTTCGAAATTCAAGTTTTATTTTGTTCGTTTTGTTGTTCTATTTCAGTAAGATATGGCTGGTAGCTGATGCTTTCTTGACTATCGTAGGATGGTATCATACACTTGAGAGCTACTTCGGAAAATGCTATTTCGAAATGGTTTGAGTTGACTTTATGGTAGGTAGGTAGGTCTAAAGTGAGTGGGTCTAATCGACCCTCCATCGCAACCCACAAGGGTTTATTGTGGCTCACACTTATTCACACTCGGCCAAATAAACGCAGCTTCTTAACGAAGCCGATTAGTTTGTATGGTGAGTGGTCTTTCAGGTCATAGTAAGAGTACGGATCTGCCGAACTCTAAGAACCTGATTCGGTCCCCAGCGGGGCAGGCACAAAGTCTACAGCTCTGCTGTTTCATCATTTTCCAGACAGAGTACTTTATGGTACTTTTTGTTTATAATGAAGATAGGACTCTAAAAAGTTAAGATACAGTGTCTAGCATTTTTTATATAATAATAATATTTTACTAAATTTCTATAAACTGTTGTTTTTCTCATTTATAGACAGACTATAGTAGGTACATTTTTTTGATCTATCTCGTAGGGTTCAGCCAGCGTTTGCAATTCAAGCGCAAAAAATGTGTTTATTCACGACTTCACATTAGAAACCTCTAAAATTAAGTGATTCTCTATCTTATTATGCATGTTATATACATTTGTTATAAACATTTCTCCTGAATCACTCTATCTATTAAAAAACCCGCATCAAAATCCGTTGCGTAGTTTTAAAGATCTGAGCATACATAAGGACAGACTTCGTTTTATATTATCGCAATATCCTAATTCGGATCGAAAGATTATTGTGAATAGTATCTAGCAATTTCATAGAAATTGAAAAAAAATACGAGATGTACAGTTGATGCACCTAGAAACATCAAGTAAGTCAGGTGTCTGAGTGTCGGCTCTGCTGTCTCATGTTGAAGTAAGCAATATTTCCATAATGAAATCCAATTCAATGGACGGATATAATCCATAGCTCAAAGTGGAGTATAAATATTTGAAGTGGAAAGTAAACTCGAAGTCTTCTCCACACAAAAAAGGGATATATTTAATTATTCTATCGGAAAAACATACATGTTTCGATCACAGCTGTTCGGTTCATTGTTCTTTCAAGGAATGACATCTCCATCTTGTATAGTTTTTCTCTTTGCCTTCAGCGTCCTTCAATACAAATTGATGTTCACAAACTACTTGTTTTGATGATGTTATTACTCTTTGTACTGTGGGGCATTTCCCTACTTACTCATAAATAAGACAGAGACTTTGATTGCATTTGTCTATGCTAATATATAATTCGATCCTGTAGGTTTATAACTCATATTATGAAATAATCCGTTTTGCATTGTCTCCCTTATTTTCAGGCTTTTGTTACACTGAAGATGTTCATAGCTGTGATCGAAACATGTATGTTTTTTTCGATTGAATAATTAAATATATTCCCCTTTCTTCGAGTTCACTTTCCTCGTCAAAAGAAATCCAATTCTTGAAAGTTCAGTAATTTGGGTACGTACTTTCAAATAAACGTTTTTGTTGAAACTTTTCGTTATTCAGATGATGAAATTGCTTTAATTTGAGAATTAATATTTTGTTCTTATACCAATGCATTCAGATGAGAATTTTCGGGAAATGATTTTAAAAAATACTACTCGACCAAAAATTTTCTCAGATAAATGTCTATTTTTTTAAACTGAAAATTTTGCATATTTTTTCTGGTCATCGCCAGATATTTCTTCAACGCCAGCTTCCCAGGGTCGCCCAGGGTAATCCTGGCAAGATTGCACCCTTTGATTCCATCCCATCTCTTTAGGGATTGAGCATGGGTGTAACATTTCGCTAGTTCCGCAATTGTCGAAGTCATCAAGCCGTAGGTACCACTGGGTCTCAAAATTCTCAGTCCAGCCGCTTCCGTGGCAAAAGAGTCTGTAATACGATTACCTTTACTCCTGTCGTGTCCTTTAACCCACCTCAGGATAATGTTATTATCTACCGAGGCTTTGGCTAAATCCTGGTGGTACTCTAGTACTAGCCCTGAGGTAACACGTTATCTGTTCAATGCTAATAGGGCTTGTCTGCTTTCAGTGTAGATTGTTATGTTTTTATCAGAAATTCCTTTCCTGGATATTTCTTTTGTAGCTATTGAGATACCAACCAGTTCTGTTTGGACCACGCTGCTATTTTTACCCATTCCCCACTTAATCCTTAGGCTTAGTGATCTGGAGTACACTCCACATCCTGAGCCTTCTTTGGTTTTTGAGCCGTCTGTATATATGCGTATTGCATTTGTAGCATCTGACTCAGTGTTTAGTTTCATTTGTATTTTGTAGGATTTATTAAACCTGGATTCAATTGCATCACTGGTTGCCTACAGCAGAGGTTGCGCAGTAAGCGCTTCTCGCCATAGGCTCAATTGACCCATTCCCATTTCGTGGTTTACACTAGCCGTGCGCAATCGTAACATGGCCATTAACGAAACCTCCTTAACGTACAGGTCCAGAGAGGTCAGACCAGTAATTAATTCCATTGCCGCGGTTGATGTTGTTCTCATGGCTCCTGTGATGTTTAAACAAACCAGTCGCTGTATTTGATATACTTTTTGGATGGCCGTTGCTTGTAGAACTTTCGGTCCCCATGCAATGGCTCCGTACGTTAACATAGGTCTTATTATTGCAGTGTAGATCCAGGTAACCACACGAGGTGAAAGACCCCATGTGTGTCCCACTGTCCTCCGACATTGCTCATTGCTCTACTCTGTAGGTGAGAGTTCCATGTTTCCTGTCGAGGATAGTAACAAGGTATTTTACCTCTTCAGAGAAGTTTAGTTTGCTTTCAAAGATTTCGAGAAGTTTCAAGTCCGATAAACTTATTTTCCTGGTGAAATGGACCATTTCAGTCTTCTTGGGATTTACCAACAATATGAAGACCTTCTTCTCAATTAGAATAAACCAAGAAAAATTAATAAATTAAACCAACCTTCTCCTGTTGCATTTGCTGCTTCATCAATATCGTCTTCTTCTTGTCTTTGCACCGCTTGTTCTGGAACCAGACCCGGATGACCCTCGGCGAAAGTCCCGTCATCTCCACCAGCTGCTCCTTCATGAGGGCGTCGGGACGCGGGTTCGCCGCGTAGCACGTCCGCAGTGTGTGCAGCTGTTTCTCGTTGAGGACGGTACGCACGCGCGTCGGTTTGCCGTCGCTACCGCCGCCTGCACCACCGCCGCTCTTGCGCAGACCGCCGTCTTTGTGGGAGCCGCTTTCCGAGCCGGAATCTGCAACATAAAAGCGTAAATATGAGAGAACTGGTAAATTTGTTCATAATACGGTGACTTATAGGACTAGTACGTTTTTTATTTGACGAGGCAGATTTGTCCCTAACCAAAAACTTTTTTTCCAAATTTCAAATTCATGAGTATGTTTTTACTGAAAAAGTGTTAACATTCACAGCCAAAGATAACCGAGTGAAAAGTTTTTTCCAAGTGTGTTAGCAGAAGGTTTTTATGCCTGATGTTTTGTCTGCCGCAGTTGTAGACGAAACGGAGGGGCAGTTCAAAATTTGCATCAATCGCGGGTTTAATTAAAATTTCTGGAGTATCCATTTGCTGAGATACCTTCAAAAACAACAAAATTTGGATAGTTCTCATAGTTTCTGAATTTTTCTTGTATACTTTTGAATAAAATAGAAGCCCATTCTTCACTTATAACCGAACATATGTAGGTATAAATGTGTCGATATACGTATATAACCTTCATATTGTTTTCTCTTTGTAGTTTGAATTCAGTGAAGTTTTTAGAATGACCATTTTTCAACAATGTATCTTGTCTACTGGTAAATAAAATACATTTCTATCTAGATCAAATGCTTATTATTTCTGAGTGAAATTACAGAAAAAAAAATACCGAGATTTTCAATTCGAACTCCGCAGACTCTATACAGATCACTCTGTCAAGACATTTGTTCTGATTACTGGAGTCCTTGGTGGAATGTTGCCCTCTCTATTCTCGAATCCTAAAATCATACCGGTTTGCCGCACTAAGGCAGAAATCTTAGCCGGACAGATGCAGAAGGCTATCATTCTTGGCTCACTGCGCTTGCTCAGGCCACATGATTCCCGGACTCAATAATCACTCACCCCTTCTGAATGTGTCAAGGTCCCACCCAGCGCAACCTAAGGGATAATAATAATAATAATGGTTTTCAATGTCGAGGATGTAACATTGATTGAAAGTAAGAGGCGGAAGTGGGTGAAGTGGGTGAAGAACTTGTACCGTTTGAAAAGAAACAGTTGTTGCCGACTTCCGATACAAGTGGCAGTAAAGGTGAGTTGAAATAATTTTAAATGGATAGATTGTTATGAATTATTTCTTATTCTAAATTTTCAAAAATCAAATCGGTGTAGGTACTTTTTGAAACTAGTCTAACTATTGCCCTCGCTAATTCTCTTTCAGTTCAACTAAAATAAATATAGTTTTAAAAAACTAAAAAATGGGCTTTTAAAGAACATCGAACTGAAAAGTTAAAAATAATTTAAAAAATAGATTCAAACAATAACCAATGAAAAATACTAGTATTATTGTGAAAAAAAGCGACTGGCGCTTGATATACAAAAAATAAGGCACAAAGCACCCACGCTTTTTTCACTAGTATTTTTCGTCCGTTATTGCTTTGAGCTTATTTAAAAAAAATATTTTTAACTTTTCAGTTCGATGTTATTTAAAAGCGTGTTTTTTATTTTTTTTAAACTATATTTTTTTACTTGTGATGTACTGTTTGGAACCTTTGGTGTAGTATTGAATATTACTGGAGTTTTTTACCAACACCAAATCGTTATTTTTACACCTCGACTCGGGTTTCGATCACCAAGTGATCATCTTCAAGAGGAAGATAAAATTTCCTTCCTCTTCCTCTTGAAGATGATCCCTTGGTGATCGAAACACGTGTCTAGATGTAAAAATAACGATTTGGTGTTGGGAAAAAACTCCAGTAATATTATATTTTTTTATTTTTTAGTTGCGTATGCTATAAAAGCGTGTTTTTCAGTCTTCTATAACTATATTTATTTTATCCAAACTTTGGGATCAATCAGCCGTATATTTTTCAGAAAAATAACCATTGATATTTTCCGATTCCGGAGAGGGAGCCTGAAAATCAGCTACCAAGGCAGCAGGCGCGAAAAGGAGGGTTTTATTTTTGGTACCTTGGGAGCTGTCTGACTTGTCCGTTTAGTCCAAGTCTCCAGAAAACACTGCAGCCTCTTGGGCTTATTGCGTTTGTTTTCTTCTCATGACACCCATTCCATCAGTCTCGTTCCCTGTACTAGTTTGTACAGGTTCCGTGTTGGATGTTCGTCATATTCTTCTGGGCGTAATTTTGTACATCCATATATTGCCTGCCTCTTGTGATACAGTGCCTCACACTCGCATAAGATGTGTAGAGCTGTTTCTATCCCTTTGTTGCATAATTTGCATCAGAGGTATCCTTTGTGCAGCCCCATTTTATTCAGGTGTTCTCTAAGCGGACAATGACCGGTTAGTAACTCTGTAATTATTCTCAGCCAATCCCTACTATATTGAAGTAGTTCTTCGGTTCATTTCTCGGACGGTTCCCTAATGAAGGTTCTACTGTGTTTGTTGCCAGGTACTTTTGTCCAGTACTCTGTGTGCTTCTTATTGGTCCATGTCCTAATCTGGTTTCGTACCAATGATTTTGGTACCCCCAGAGCTGATTCAGGAAGTTAATTTGTTCCTATTTGCAAGTTCATTCCGTTCTTCATGGCATTCCCAGACCAGTTTTGATGTCACCTTCAGGTTTGTCAGAGCCCCTAGTGTGCTCTTGCTGTCTGTAAAAATATTGATCCGCTCAATTCTTTGGGGTCTCAATTCAATAAGCCTTGCACACTGCAAGATAGCATACACTTTCGCCTGAAAGACGAATGTGTATAGTCCTAGCGGATAGCTGTAGTTTAAATTTCTATCCGCTCAGTATATTTCAACTCCCGTTCCATGTTTGGTCTTCGATCCATCTGTATACCAGCTGTTTTTTCCAAACATGTTTTCAGGGTGGCTAATGGTCTTCCATTCTTCACGGCTTATGATTTTGGCCGTGAAGTTAGTGTTAAAGGTGTACTTCGGTGTCATGTGGTCCGTGCACATATTCAATATGTGCTCCTCCACTTGTTCCGAAATTTCTGTTCGGTCCGATCTTTTATAGTTCGGTGAGTTTTCCAGTCTGAATTGGCCCATCCTGGCCTCCCCTGCAAAGGAGGGTTAAAAATAAGGCAGCAGGCGCGTTTGTTAATAAAAAAAATACATTTTTCAAATGAAGAAATACATGTAAAGTAGTTCGAATTATTTCAAGGAGGTTACGTAAAGCGTCATCTGCATGCGAATTGATCAAGCAATAATGTCGATAATTTTGTCAAATACAGATCCCAAGCATTCGAACGGGAATAAATATGAAATGAAAAGGAGAGTTACAAACAAACATACATACATACAAGTGAAGCTAATGAAAGCGTGTTAAAAAAAAACGTGTGCGGCTCGGGACGCCCGATAGAAGTGATAACTTGAAATAATCTAAGTTTAACTTTCTGATATTGAAACTTGAGGAATGATTGGGTTACTACTTAACTTTAGATATATTAATATGATAATATGAGAAAAGGTTATTTATCATTAAAAGCTTTCATTGATTATTTTGTGTATGTACATATAGATATTATAGCCACCATATAAAACAATTGTTACTTTTGTAGAAACAAATAATGATACTAATAATGTACATACACAAAATAAGTATCAGCATTTTCAAACCACGTTTCACATTTTGAAAGAACATACATGCTTGATGCTTAGATTTTTATAATACTGTCAACAGTATATGTCTTTCGCACACTGAGCACTGAGCGTTTGTCCGACGAGAGAGGAGGAGCTTACTTTCCGCTGAGAGAAAGGGAAGCCAGAAAGGTTGTTAGGTAACGAAGCGGTTTACCCTCCCTAAGAAGTTATCACTTCAATAATAAAGCAATAGTATAGTCACACATTTATGAAGTTTCTGTATTAATTTGTTCAATTTCAATCAAAGTTCTTAGCTACAGATTCTGGTAAATAGAGTAATGAAAATGATTTTATGTTGTAATACCTTTAATTTTAATGTTAAATTCCCGTCAATGGATGCTGTCTCTCAGGCAGACTTCAGTTTTCGAAACTGTTAACACCTGGCCCCATTTTATTCATTACCTACTCATACAAGAATACAAAATCAATCAATAGTATTCACATACCAATCACCAACAAAAGAAATTGTAGGAATTCTTCATTTCAGAAAGAATTTAATGAGTTCAATAAACTCCCCAAGAAAATATTTTCAGTTTCCCATAGAATTGGACTGTACCAGTCCAACTGATAGAACTACCGTGTAGCGAAATGCCTCTTAAACAAAATGTATTGTGAAAATTACATATAGTTATCATCACGGTTAGTGTTATCCATTTTCAGTAAGTATGTATAATTCTCTATCCATCATAACATTTTTAATTTTTGGAAATCCCATCAGCGGTTTTTGAGTAATTGGCAGTTTATTTTCGTTTTAATGGTCTGCAAGTCTGTTCCAATGAATGTTTAAAATTTTCACTATTCACTTTCTTACAATAATGACGTTTGTTTACAAATTTGTTTATTTTTATTATGGAACGTTTCTGGGGTAATTTCGTTGAGAGTACCACTAATTGTAACTATGAACTGCGAATGTGTAACGTATACTTAGTTTATACTTCACGAAGAGGCACAAAACAAAAAACCTAAGGGCGTTATATCAGATGGAACGTTTCTGGGGTAATTTTGTTGAGAGTACCACTAATTGTAACTATGAACTGCGAATGTGTAACGTATACTTAGTTTATACTTCACGAAGATACACAAAACAAAAAACCTAAGGGCATTATATCAGGTAATCTAGCGGGTCATTCTCAGAGCCCACTAGATCATCTGATATGACGCCTCTAGATATTTTTTAAAGAGTACGTAACATGTGAAGTGTATGATATACATTCATCTGCAGCTCATTTCAGAACTCGTGGATAGAATGAGAGGTGCTTGCAATAAAATTACCATAATGTAGGGAATTAATTTGTAAACAGATTTCATTATTGTTGGGACTGAATGATAAACATTTTGAACATTCATTGGAAAGAACTGGAGTGAGTTTTGACCAAATTTTTTTCTTAAGTCCGATATTTATTGTTTGTTGGCAGATTCTTATACAAATTTGAAACTGCTAATCACTCGTGGGACCGTTAATCGGATTTTCAAACATAGTGTTGTATGTAGAGTTTTTATAAGACCCTCTTTTTATCTGTAAAATTTGGTAAAAGTTGGTTGCGCCCTTTCGACGACGAGTGATACATCACTCATAAAAAAGTAGGTGAATTTTGTCCAACCTTGATATCTTGTCCCGGCAGCTATTTTCATAGTAAAATATATAAAATAAGTAAAGAAAAATGTTAAACGGTTTTATTGAAAAAAAAAAAATAATAGTTTGAAATACTAAAAAAACACACTTTAAT